TTCCAATTACATTGTTTGACTAGGTATTTTAACAAAGATTCCCCCAATATATGAACATACAGAGAGGCTATTCACGAAGACTGAAAGAGAGCCGAAAACCGGTATGAGACCCTAAAAGGCACACAAATGCCCCTTTTATATGAGATAGGCCCAAAACACGCATCCAATGGTGTGAAACATTCCAAGTGTCAAGAATCCAATAAAGGCGTGTATTTATCAAGCATAAAACACGCTTTTTATCTCAATTCCAGAATCATCTAATAAATGGATCAATAATGGACCTGGTAATTGGGCTCAAGTCTTAATAGATCATATTTAATTGGGCCCTCAAAATGTAGCAACCCATCTTCACAATCTCCACCCTTACTGCATTTTGAGACTTTATATAATGGATTCGAACTCTATCTTAGATGACTTGCTCTTTTTAACCTATTACAAAACTAGAGAACTAATTAGTTTCAAAATTCAATAATCTTAAAAAATCTAGAAATTTATTCAATGGCAATAACCTTTGTACCTGCATCAGCACGATTTACTTTGGTAGGAATTTTAACAAGTTTTATATCACCTTTTTTAGTTATAAACCTGATAAAGTGAAACTTATCTATATGTTTAGTTTTATCATGAAACATACGATTCTTACTCAAGAAAATAGCACTTTGATTATGTGAACAAAGCTCCACCTTATTTTCTACAAATCCTAATTCATTTAATAATCCTTTCAACCAAAAACTTTCTTTTACGGCCTTAGTAGCGGCAATATATTTAGCTTCACTAGAAGATAAAGCAACTAATTTTTAAAGTTGAGATCTCTAACTAATGCTAGTGTTATTTATCACATAAAAATATATAGAAGTAGACTTTCTGTTATCAGAATTATCAGCAATGTCAGAATCAACATATCCTTCAAGCAAAAACCATTTTTATTAGCATTAAAGATGAGTCCTAATTTCTGAGTACCCTTTAGATATCTGATTAAATGTTTCATAGCTTCCCAATGAAGCTCAATTGGATTGTTCATAAATTTGCTCAATACACTTACAGCAAAGCCAATATTAGGTCTAGAGCACACCATAACATACATAACAAAACCTACTGCATTAGCATAAGGTATATTTGCCATTCTATTAACCTCATCTTCAATTTTAGGTGAATGGTGAGTAGATAACTTCACACAGGCATAAAAAGGCAAGCTGACCGGTTTAGATTCATGAAGTGCGAAAGGTGTATAATACAGAATCACGACCTTTTGATAAGGTTCAATCTAGACCACAATCTTGAAATGGTGTGATCTAATGATTGTAATCAATTTTGCCAAAAGATGCAACCGTTAGGAAGAGACATGAAAATTTATAATTAGGGTCCTCCTAATTCCATTTTCTTCACTCCAAATCAATTTCATATAATTGATTTCCAATAATTTCCTTCTCTACATGATGTCAAAATAATAAGTCAAGTGTAAGTTCGTCGGACAAAATTAACATTGTGCTATATTAATTTTTGAAAAACTAGAAGAAGCGTTGTATCTTGAAAACAGACTTTCATTTAATCATGTTAGCACCGGTGTAGCTGAGGACGAAAATTCGTCTTAAGAAAATTTGCATTCGCATACCTCGCTTCATTTCACCTCCTAATTTCTACATTCTAGTAAGTCGATATTTGTGCTCGTATCTCGATTTTGGCAAGTCAAAATTTTAGTCTATATCTTGCACGTGTAAATCACGATTCTATCGTCTTTGCATGCACGTATTTTTTATTAACGGAATATAATTTATGCACCAATTTATCCAACATGGTACAGTGCATAAAGAGGGGAGGGAGGTTATTGGAATTTCTTGATGCCACCTATGAGATATAAAGCTTTTTGAGCCTCAGGTTTGATATTTGGCTGCTTCGTGAAACACAATATTATTACTCTGTCAAATCCAAAATTTTAAAGTCGGAGAAATATGAATTAAGCTATTTGTACAACCCTTGTTGACAATTTTAGTGTTGCCAAAATCCGAACAAATGAATGAATGTGATGCTACCAGGTGTGAAATTGGGAGTCAAGATTGTCGACTGAGATTGTATAAGAAGCATGATTCAATAAATATAGCAACCACGTAAACCATACACAAAGTAAATGTCCATACAGACTTGAGCACAAGAACTATTCTAATAAACTTCACCTTGTATCTATAATGCTCAAAACCAAAATAACAATAACTATACTAGCGCGCACAAAGATTAAAAAAAACGCAAGCTAATAGATATTAAAGAAATGAAAGCTAAAATATAAATAAATGGATCAACCAAATTGAAAGAGAATATTTAGAAATGAGCCTAAGGGTTAAAATCTGCCAACTAAGTAGAGATGTCAAGACGAACGAGCCGACCAGACCCGTGAAAATCGGCCCTGATTGACCCGGGACCGCGGGCCGACCCGTGATCCGAGCGGGCGGTTCATGGGTCAAGGAGGTGTGACCCGCGGGATTCGCGGGTTGCACCTTCACGGGCCACGGTTAACCCGTTGTCCCGTGAAATTTTTCTTTTTTGTTTAATTTGAGAAAAAAAAAGGGGGAGGTGCCAATTTAGTTTTGATGTACTTATACTATAAATATTTGATAATAGTAATTAGAAATGCATTTAGTTGTTATTTGTTTAAGTTAAATTTAACTTTGCAAAGTTATAAATAATTCATGTCACATTAAATTTGAATTCTATGTAAATATTTCTT